CAACGCACCAGGCTTCTGATGCCGACAGGCAGGCAAAGCTCCAACACCGGGGAGTGCTTCATCATCTTCGGGAATGGAAGGTTCGTATTCCGGCGTCCTGAGGAAGTCTAGCTCTGATTCAGCATCTCTTTCTGTAGACCTACCCAAAGCAGCAAGTTCCACTTCAACTGCTTCTTCATCGGCTGGGTCGATCTCAGGCGGAAGATCAGGCAAACCAAGATGCTCGAAAGACAAGAGCCTCTCGTGATCCTCAAAAGGTTGAGACGAAGTTTTGGCCTCGTCCCCGAACGCCTTTTCAAAACGAGCAACACATTCAGGATTGTGGTCGGAACGGTCTCTTTCACAGGCAGTACAGCCTGGAGTAGGGCCAAGCTTCAGAAATCTTGAATAGGTGATGTAGATCCTTCGGGCCTTTTTCTTGATGTTGGCTTGGTCGCCTGAGAAAGGCAGAGGAAGAGGATCTGGTATTACGAAGTCTTCTCCTCCACAAAGTTGCAGCGTGTGTTCGGCTGCGTTTTTGAGGGGAAACACTGGATCGCCAGATCGCACATACAGTTCTGCTTCAGGAACAGATATTACCTCTTCCCAAGAACCAAGTTTGAATCGAACTTTGGCTAAATCCAGCACGTATACAACCGACCTATACAAGAACCCAGGCTCCAATCTCCATCCGGCAAACAACCCTGGCTTGGCATTAGGACCAAACTTGCTATCTGCTCGTGCCCGATAGAAAACAAGTTGGCCTAAGATTAATTCCCGAGGCGGGACGTCTTCGGTATCGAAGTGCGCAACTGCAAAGTCCCATCGTGAGAGATCAGATTCGAGAGGAGCAGGATGCGAAAGGTTCATCGCCATTGACCCGTAGCGGCAAGCCACTGTCCACAACTCAGGTCTGACAGCAAACCCTGCTTCAAGAAAAGATGACCTGACCCCTTCTTGGAAAGACCGAATTTCACGCTCAAGTTGAGAATTGTGAGGAAACCGGTTCGGCAATGAAGGCATGTGTAACCAGCCCAAGGTTTCTGCAGCAAGCTTGAATTCGTCTGCTGCATCAGAAACCAGCGATACCGGTTTGCTGCACACTTTCCTCCCAACAAAACGCTTGAGGCATGTCAAGATGGAATCAGTTGAACGATCTGTGGCAGGGTAAGCAGCAAACAATCCTGTGAAGCGATCTCGAAGGCACAACACCACATACTCTCTTCCGGGAGCATTGGAGTCACTAGGTGACTTGAACACATGGATGTGATCAGCTGCAATAACCTCTCCAAACTCAGAAGCTTCAAGCATCGCGGGCTCAGAATCCTCATCACGAGGCTTGCGGCGCACCCTGCGGGATAAGAGTTTGGATCGATTGCACACATCGCAGAACGGGTTCTTTGGGAAATGGAATAAGCGATGCTTCACGCTCACAGCTTCATCTCTCAATTTGCGAACTCGATCGCTGACATGGGCATCGTCCACAATGGGAACTCCCGGCGAACTCACATCTAAAGGCTTGTCCCCTTCAGGAAGCGCAGATGCAGCTGGACCATCAGGGTTTGCCTCGACAAGATGTTCTTTGGGCAGCCCCCCTGACGAAGAGGAAGGCACTTCGGACGACTCAATCTCTGCTGGAATGACATCAACCAGCGGGTGACTGTCCAAAGGAAATCCAACTCCTATGAGAGCATCTAAGACATCAAGCTCAAGAGAAGCTGGATCTTTTGCTGCGTACAAGATCATCACCAGCCGATCACCAGTCCAAGGTTGCGTGGCATGTAGTCGATTTTTGGCAGAGAACTGGATAACCCCTTTCTTGAAACTCAAAATCTTGCCAATTTGCGAAACGCTTGGAAAAGGACATTTGTCTCTTCCTGCAGCATCTTCAACCCAAACACCACCACCGGTAAACCCCCCCAACGAAATGACAACATTGTCGATCCCAGCATTACGGGAATCCTTGTGAGGATCTGCGGACACATTGTGCAGCAAATTGATGGTGGTGTAAACATGTCCAGGGGCTTTACGCTGTGCAAATTGGTTCAATGCACGAGTCACGAAAGGGTACTCCTTCGTAGACTTCAAAAGACCGACGACGCCACCTCGACGGAAGCAGCCAACTGCAAAGGACGAGTCGTTGCTCGGCTCAATCCCTCGGGGTGCTGAACCACGCTTCACAAGTCCAAAGATCTTACGAACTTGATTGGGCTGAATATCACCACGCTTTGTTAGGAGGTCTTTGGCATACTCTTCAGCTGGATCATGGGCAAAGGGGGTCGAAGGCTCTCGGCTTTCCTTACCAGACCTTTCAAGAGAATCAGCTGACGCAGCCACGCCGTGGACAAACTGAACTTTGCTGGTGAAAATAGGCACATGCTCATCTATGCGCGTTGCATAAAACCTGGCCTCCTCAGCGCAATCAATCCGAAGCTTAGACAAGTCATGCACGAAGAAAGGAAGGGAACCAGGTAACCATATGAAGGCCTTCCCGGATTCAACATCCAAACCGGTGCTCCGAACAACTGGACAGTTGTCCAACATGTAGTGGTTGGCGAGAGGCATATTGTCGGACGCAAATCCCAAACTCTGAGAGCCAGGCTGAGGTCCACCACCTGTGTGGAACGTAACAGGGCTCGCTGAGTGCGCAAGAAAGGACCTGTACGACTCCGACGGAATTCCCTGGTCTGCCAGCGCTCGCGCCGATCCAAGATGCCGACCAGCAGCTGTGTCGGCAGCCCATTCAACGCTGAAAGCGTTGCTCCCAGGAATGTTGCACATGCTTGAGGCAGCCATCATTGCCACGACTGCTTTTGCAACAGCTCCTGGGGACTTGGGCTTGGAAGCGGCGGCCTTTGGCTTAGACTTAGGGTCGACCTTAGGGGTCTTATCAGGGGCGTGGCTGTACTTGCAATTCTCTCCATGCATGCAACCAGACGACATTCTGAAGAAAATGCAAGGTGTCTTGGCTTTTTCTGCATCTGACATGCCTTTTGCCTTCGCTTTAGCTTTTGTCTTAGGTTTGGGGCTTGGTGCGGGATTTGCAGGTACTGGAGCCTTCGGTGAAGGTCCAGTGGACACTGGGGCAGGAGTCTTAGCCTTTGGGGAACTTCGGGATGCCTCCTTAGTCTCTGCAGGAACTCCCTTTGTCTTTGCCTGCGGAGCGGCAATTTGCAAAGACTTCATCACTGAGTGAGAGTTTGCATCTTCTCGCTCTTGAACAAGGATATCTTGTATTTTGTTCCATAAGTAATCCCACTCACGACGACGGGATTCTGGCGCAGATTCTCTGATATCCTCGATGATGCGTTCCAACTTTCGAATATGCTTCACCCGGTGGAAAAGCCATTCACCAGTGAGGCGATCATCTGGCCTCTGTCCGACCGGTATGGCATACAGAACAGTCCTTACGCGTTGCACAAAGTCTCGGAGATCTCGCATGGAGTTTCCCCCGATTTCAACCTGGAACAACGTCGAAGCAGTCAGCACAGTACCTCGAACACGGTCGATGCTGAAATGACGAGCAAGAAGGGCAAGCATGTATCGACCTTTCGGCTGGGACCGTGCTTGGCCGCACAACTCAACATAGGCAATTACCTCTTGCTCCAACTCAGTCACTTGCTTCAACACACGCAAGGAAGTCATCTCTCCAGCAATCCAAGCGTCAAGGCGAGGGAGAAAACCAGACTCAGTAAGGTCTTCTTTTTCAGCTGTGAAAGACTGAGACAGCCATTCAACGACCAAACCTTCTCCTGACATATCAAGCTTGGCAATTTGGACCAACAACGCGTTTTTCCAGGCTCGGAAACCAGCAGCGTCGGAAGGAACAGGTTCAAGCTTGAGATGCAACAAAGCTCGGTTGTCAACAATGTGCTTCTCTTGCCTCTCAGGCTCTTCGTTCTCATGAACAGGAGATGCATCATTGCATCCTTGATCCGTGCCATTTCTTTGGGCAAGCAGTTGCTGGACGACATCAATCAACTGATCAACACGAGGGTCGGTAACGGTTGCAGGAGGGCAAGGGGGTGACTCATTGACAACTTGCGGCAATGAAGGTGCACCATTATTGTCCCCATCCGAACCGATATGTACCCAACTAGAACCACCTGAACAGGCACTTGGTGCAATTGCAGATGGCACATCTTGCTGGCGAGGTGCAGGCTTTCGAGGTGAAGACCCAGGACTCGTGGCGCTTAAAGCAGCCTGACGAAGTCTCTGAATCTCACGGTCTTTGACTTGCAACTCAACACGTAGCTGGGTGTTTTGGAAGTTCAGCAAGTTGTTATCACCCCGGCAGCTGGTTAGGGCGGCTTCAAGCTCTTGGTACCCTGCACGAGCAACCTGAAGTTCAGCTTCGACTTTGCTTAGCTCAGCCTTAGCTACGGATAGCTGTTCTTCCAAGATTCGACCCTGTTGAAGGATCTCATCATAACGATGTTCGTATTGTTGCAACTGCTCACGCATTTGCTCAGCGGTGGCTTCAACCAAACCTCTAGCCTCATTCTCTACCTGCTCTAGCCTTACAGCATGTAGCTGCTCAGCATGATCAGCCACTTGCTGCGCTGCTTGGGTTGCAGCCAAACGTTGGGCATCCAGGACTTCTTGTGGGGACGCTCCTACGTTCAGGATGTTCTGCGTGTATGAGGCTTGAGCGGTTAGATTCGGGTAAGGTTCTGAGTGCTCACGAGTTCTGCGAGGTCCCGACAAAGCCCGTCTAGTCAGAGGAGGGGACCTTTCACGGAGCTCAACTGCAGAACTACTCGTAACCGAACCACTATCTGAACCGATACCACCCGGCAATGCCATGGCTGAGGCACTCGATAGATCAAGTACCGAACTAGCTTGGTTGCTAGGGTCTGAGGGGGAAGACATTGCCTTGAGAGGTGGAAGCGCTTAGCAGCAGCTCAACGCACCCTTTCTTTTGGCAGAAGATGCGAGGCTCACGGTTGGATCTGCAATCCCCTCAATGTCGCCAGAGGAGGCGCTCAGCGCCGGACAACTGGACGAACAGCCCCAGACCTTTAGGCGTCCGGAAACCACTTCCGCACCTGACCTTCGATAGCGTCAGTACACTCCGGAAAGCTGTCAAAGGAAGGCACGGGAGCACGCGGAAAAATAGTGCGCTGTCCACGACTCCCCTTGGATCTCTTCGGAATGGCAATATGCAGAGGAATCACGTGCTCAGAGCCCGCCAACTCGTCACAGACATCCGCAGAGTCGTCGACGTGAATGATGGGGAGCTCAACCTCCTTTGCCAGATGTTCCAGCACTGCACGCTTCCCCAACGGACCAGTGGCCTTCCTCGTAATGAAAATGAGGCAAATAGGCGATTCCCCGATCTGCGTGAAAAGCGTATCACAGGAATTCACTGTCGTCTCAACCACGTGCCTTTTAGTGTCCTCGTGATGACAGTAACTGCAGACGAAGAATAAGCCCCCGTAGCGCGGAATCAACGAATGAAGATCGCGCAAGGCTGCCACACACTCTGAAGGAAACTCGGGCCTAGGATCCGTCCAGCTTGTCGACTTCTTGTGATATCGATCCAACACTCCGTGAAAATCCAAGCTCAAACCAAAGGAGAATCTCTCGAAAGCAGGTTCCGTAAGCTTCACCTTAACACCCTCAAAGTCCAGCACCTCTGTCTTCAGGGGACGGAAGTCAATCACACGAGGATTTCCTGTCACCTGAGGTGGCGGAGGATGCGAAGGTTCCGGCACACGATGCAGCACCTGAGCCGATGGAGGATGCGAAGGTTCCGGCACACGAGGCGGAGCCTTCGGTGGAGTCTTTGGAACCGGAATGCCTGATGACAAACTTCGAGGCGGAGCTTTCGGTGGAGTCTTCGGAGCCGGAATGTCTGATGACAATGAAGCCGATGGAGTTAACAAAGGCTTTGGAGCCGGCAAAGGCCTCTGAGTTGAAGAGCTTGATGACGAAGAAGCGGGTGGAGGTGATGGAGCCGTGGTCTTCGCCTTCAGAACAACAGTTGAAGGATGAAGTCGATGAAACGGACGAACTGGCGTAGAAGGCGGCGGAGTCTCCGGGGCCTGATCGTCAATAACGATCACTTCTGACTGCTCTTCCACAGCCTGAAAGGGAGCCGTCCTCGGACGGCGCACTACGGATCTTGTAGATCCGTCAGGGCGACGGAAGGGAACTTCGGATGGATCAGCGAAGATGCCCAAGTCCTGATCGCGCAGAAAGATATATATTTGATACGCTTTCCGCTTCCTTTGGGCTGCGGCGCCCCCTCGAGTGCCTCTCACACCGAGAGGCCTTGGAATGCGCTCTTCCTCACGAGGAGGGTTGCAGTCCATGGGTCCTCAATCCTAGACCCTGAAATCTACAGAACAAACAGAGCGATACGGAGCTGATAACCAGTTGAACAGGTTAGAACCTGGCCTAAGCCTAAAAGGGGAAGGACCAGGCACAACCAAAAGAAGGGTTCAGGGACCCTCAAAGCCCTCAACCCTGCGTGCAAGCCGCACCTCATGCGGCCTTTTTACTTGAGCCAAAAATGGTCAGAAGGTAAGTCATCCTAGTCTGCACAACATGACTATACATGCTTTACAATAGAGGAAGGAAGCTCGTGATTCTTCAACTAAACATGGCTATAAAGTTCACTAATCAGGTAGAACAATACTCTTTGTTTTAATTCAAAAAACAAATACAAAAAGTACATAAATTCGAAGAAAAGCATCTAATTTCTAAAAAATTTAAAACAGCTGATTCCGGTTTTTGAAATACCATCAAAGAATTTTAGTACTGTTGCTTGCCTTCTTGTCCTTTGATGAAACTCAAGAATTATGTATGAATTTTCCATTGATAATTCTCGTAGATTTTCAGCGCTACCTTTAATGCAACTCATTTCTGACAAAAAAACATTCTTACTATATTCGATTAATGTTGTATCTTTATTCCTTCAATGTTCATGCCATTTTAATAGTTATTTGTCTTGATTTTTTCTGAACTAGAAACAGAAAATTATTCTTAATAACAGTCTTCTCTATTTTCTCTTCTTTACCTTGTTGAAAATTTTCTGTCGCTTAAAGATATTTCTCGATAAACATTATACTTATTGTATATTCATGATTTTAAGGTTTTAATTTAGAATATTTTCTTAGTGAAAGTATTCTATATTTTCTTCTTTGCCTTTTTCAAAACTTTCCTTCGCTTCGAGTTTTCTCGTTACAAATTAGAACTGTTGTATACTCATGAATTTCATCTGTTAATTTAGAATCTGAGCTACTTGACGGGTTTGATGGATTTGGTGGTTGGATAAGAAATTTCAATGCTCCAATTCTTCATCTATATCATTTGTGATAACGTTTTGATTGTTATCTACATTTTCTATTGTCTATTTCTAGATTTCTAACCTTTCTAAATTTGAAATTTTAGTTCATCCGAAAAGTGTTTTATTTGTGCTATTTTGCCTTTTAATATTGTTCTTTAATTTTGTTCTTCAATATTTTGCTAATCTTTCATACAGTTCTATTTAGAAATTTGATTACAATTCATTTTCCTTGTCTAGAAATTTATTTCTTCTTTTCTGACACATTTCTGTTGAAATCAAAAACGTAAAAGAAAAGTAAATTACTTCTCGTGTTAGGTCATGACTTAGATATACGGTAAGATATAGTTTGCGTCGTCCTTGGAAGGAATATTTAAATACTTGGAGTGAAGCCGGACGCTCATAAATCGGCACGTAGGCTTCCCGGGCCGGCACACCAAATTGGCGAGTCGCTGACCTTGAAGTTCAGGTGGATGCAGAGCCAGTCCGCAACCACGGGATCCATTCCACGGCTCCTAGAAATTGCAGGCGATGCATTGCAGGCGAGAAATACTTCAAGGAATCAATCGAGTATGGCTAAGATTCGGGCTCGAAGCTGAAGGCCTGAACGCTGTTCGCCGCCCTGTCATGTTCACGTAGTTGCTGGCGCTTCAGGGCATTCTTGCTCACCTCGCCGGCGAGTCAAGGAATGAAATTGTAAGCAAGATGGAAATTGTAAGCACGATATGCGTTACGTCGCCCCTGGCCTTGGGCATTGGGAGCGAAGAAATTCGAGGCTGGAAGGACCGAACTCAATTGGTGGAGGGCTCGAGCCGATGATCTGCAAATTCTGGCAAGATTCGTTAAGGGTGCGCGGAGCATATATATATATATATATATATATGCCCATATATATATATATATATATATATATATATATATGGTGCAGCGTCGCTGCCCCCCCCCCAATTTCCCCCCCCCCCCCCCCCCAAATTCTTTCCCCCCCCGCCCTTCTGTGGTTTGGGCCGCCCTGTGGGGTGCCGTGGTTGGGGTTTGGGTTTGTTTAGGGTTTAGGGTTTAGGGTTAAGGGTTGAGGGTTTAGGGTTTAGGGTTTTCGGGTTTAGGGTTTAGGTTTCGGGCTTAGGGTTTTAGGGTTTAGGGTCCCCGCCTGTGGTTTGGGCCCCCCTGTGGGGTGCTGTGGTTGGGGTTTGGGTTGAGGGTTTGGGGTTTAGGGTTTAGGGGTTTACGGGTTTAGGGGTTTAGGGGTTTTGGGTTTAGGGTTTAGAGTTTTGGGGTTTAGGGTTTAGGGTTTAGGGAGGTGGGGGGGGGTTGGGGGGGGGTTGGGGGGGGGTGGGGGGGGGTTGGGGGGGGGTTGGGGGGGGTTGGGGGGGGGTTGGGGGGGGGTTGGGGAGCGTTGGGGGGGGGGGGGGTGGGGGTTGGTTGGGGGTTGAAGTTGTTGGGGTTGTTGGGTGGGGGGGGGGGGGGGTTGGGGGGGGTGGGGGGGGTGGGGGGGGTGGGGGGGTGGGGGGGGGGGGGGGTAGGGGGGGTGGGGGTGGGGGGGGGGGATACCGACACGGGACACGGAACCACAGACACATTGAATCCAAAAGACACCCAATAAGCGCCCAGCACAGACCTCGCCCCCCCAAGCTGCTGTTGGTTCTCCTAAACCCTAAACCCTAAACCCTACACCTAAACCCTAAACCCTAAACCCTTAGGGTTGAGGGTTTAGGGTTTCCTGCACACCCGAACTCCATGCAAAACTCGAGCTTGTAAGGACAGCTACACGGTCAGAACCCATTTAAGATCTTCCACCTGGAAGTCATGGAGGATCGCACGTAGACCCCCATTAGTAGCCTACATACCTGATACTACCCCCTAAACCCTAAACCCTCAACCCTACACCCTACACCCTAACCCTAAACCCTCAACCTCAAAACCCTGAGGCCTCTCGGTCCTGGAGCCCTGGGAACTAAAGCCGCCAAGCTTCATGTTTGGCGAAGATCTTTCGCAGGGAGACCTCGCCCCCATGAAAGGGTTTAGGGTGTAGGGTTTCGGGTTTAGGGTTTGGGGTTTGCCAGGGGGGTGAGGGGGGTGAGCGGGTGGGACATCATATGGTAGCTGTCTTGAACGAACCGCACAGTTGAGCATTTTTTCTCATCCTACGGGGTGTTGTAATGGCATGGGTATCCTACGTGGGCCTACGCGTCAGCTCATGTTTAGTAGGCGCGCGGCCTACGCGCGGAGTATGTTGTTGACGCGTGCCTACGCGGAGTTACGCGGCAAAGCATAGACAACTTACGCTGACCTACGCGTCCATACTGCATAGACTTGCCTACGCGGACCCTACGCAGACCTACGCCCTGCAGGCAAAATGCTACGCGGCTGATCGCGTCTCCATGTAGCCTTGCTCCTAGAAAAAAAACGCTGCTCAGTTGGGCCCACACGTGAACGGCTGAGGGCTTGGGGCGTCGGCACTGCCCTAAACCCTAAACCCTAGACCCTAGACCCTAAACCCTAAACCCTAAACCCCAAACCCCAAACCCTAAACCCGATTATTCCCGAGAACACTCCTACAACTCCCCGTAAGACCGCCCCATACAGAGCCCTCAAGAAGCCCTCTAAGTGCCTCCTGAAAACCTCCAAACGTCCCGAAAGATTCCGTGCATGAGGCCCTACAAACTTGAAAAAAGGACCCTTGAATTGCAAAAGCTGTCAAAACATCTTAAACCGTAATCCCTTACTTAGGGTTTCATGTGTAGAAAAAAAGGCTTGCAAGCATATGGTAGCCATACTTATAACCCTCCGTGCAAAAAAAAAAAAAACAAAACCCTAAACCCTGAAACCCTGAAACCCTGAAACCCTGAAACCCTGAAACCCAAACCCTTAACCCTAAACCCAAAACCCTAAACCCTAAACCCCAAACCCGAAACCCCAAACCCCTGAACCCTAAACCCCTGAACCCTAAACCCCAAACCCCTGAACCCTAAACCCCTGAACCCTAATCCCCAAACCTTGATTCCTAAACCCTGAACCCTAAACCCCAAACCCTGAACCCTAAACTCTGAACCCCAAACCCTGAACCCTAAACCCTAAACCCTAAACCCCAAACCCTAAACCCCAAACCCCAAACCCTGAACCCTAAACTCTGAACTCCAAACCCTGAACCCTAAACCCCAAACCCCAAACCCCTGAACCCTAAACCCTAAACCCTAAACCCTAAACCTCGCAGCCGCGGGGCGCCACGCGTCGCACTCTGGAGTTGCGACTGCAACCGCTTCGACGCCTCGAAGGGGTAGGGTTCAGAGATTAGGGTTTAGGGTTTAGGGTTTAGGGTTCTGGGTTTAGGGTTTAGGGTTTAGGGTTTAGGGTTAAGGGTTAAGGGTTAAGGGTTTAGGGTTTCGGGTTTAGAGTGTTCAGGGTTTATAGGGTTTAGGTTGGGATGTTGCCCCTTATACTAACAGTCCTTAATTGGGATTACAATGGGGCGGGGTACTATTGATCCCTCCGAAGGTTTGGGGTTTAGGGTTTAGGGTTCAGGGGTTTTGGGTTTAGGGTTTGGGTTTGGGGTCCTAAGCATGAAGAGACGACACATTGGTGTCTTTCAACCAACCAACCTAAACTCTGAACCGTTAAGCCCTAATCCCTAAACCCTAAACCCTTTAGACTTTAGCCCTAGAACCCAGAAGCCCACAAGCCTTCAACACTCAAAACCAGAACTTGGAGAGGTTTGACGGTCTCAGGCCTGAAGAATCTCGGGCTCTTGAAACTTAAACCTAAGGGTTTAGAGTTCAGGGTGCAGGGTTTACGGTTTAGGGTGTAGGGTTTGGGACTCATCGCTGAGATGCCGCCACGCCCAAGAGTAAGAGCGTCCTAGGGCTTGTAACCCTGAACCCCAATCCCTAGGTATAACATTACGTCTCACTGCCCTTTAGGGTTTAGGGTTTAGGGTTTAGGGTCCTCCAAGTCCCCAAGAAGCAGGAGCTCCCGCCATGACGAGGCACATCACCCCTGAACTGTGATCAAGTAGCTGCGGTTTAAGGTTCAGGGGGGTTAGGGGGTTAAGGGGTTTAGGGGTTTCGGGGTTTAGGGGTTTAGGGGTCTAGGGTTTAGGGTATAAGGGTTAAGGGTTTAGGGGATTGGGGGGTTTAGGGGTTTCGGGTTTAGCAGCGGATCTGGGCGACTTGCGTGGCCTCCTCAGTGATTTTCAGCTGGTTGGACCTCTTGTTCTTTCTCGACTCCTTCCTCGCCAGGGTAAACCCTAAACCCTAAACCCTAAACCCTAAACCCTAAACCCTAAACCCTAAACCCTAAACCCGAATAGGCTCTTGGGGCTTAGGTCAGTCTAAGGGCTTAAGTTCACTTACGTCATCCTCCGGTTCTTGGAGGCCAAGGCTCCCTAGGCTTTGGGGGGTTTAGGGTTTAGGGTTTAGGGTATAGGGTTTAGGGTTTAGGGCTTGGAGTTTGGGGTTTAGAGTTTGGGGCTATTTTCGGTCCAGGGTTCAGGCGCACGAGTTCGGCGGCCCTGATCCCTAAAGCAAAAGCAGCCTCCGTAAGCCCTGAGCCCTGAGCCCTATACCGGGTTTAGGGTTTAGGGTTTAGGGTTTAGGGATACCAACAGTTGTAGTCCACAAATCTTGGCATCAAAGGCAGGACTGCTGGAAGTGCCGATCATGATTTAACGCAGGGAGCTAAGATATATATATATATATATGGGCGTTAAGTTGCGGTCAAGGGAGTCGAGATCGTATGGAGTCTAGGCTTTCTGGTTTAGGGGGCTTCTGAAAGTCTTCAACTGAAGCCTGGAAGGTCAATCCTTTTCATGTTGAAACACAAGTCCCAATCATGCCCCAGACCCTATACCCTATACCCTAAACCCTAGGCCCTAAACCCTAAACCCTAACTAAACCCTAAACCCTAAACCCTAAACCCTAAACCCTAAACCCTGGCGGGTCTTGCTCTTCTTTGGCGTGGGTTCCCTCTCCGGCGGCACTTCGTCCTTGGTAGCCCGGCAAGAGGCCAGGGTTTTGGGGTTCAGGGGGTTTAGGATCTCCTAAACCCTAAACACCCTAACTGCTCTGAACCTCCTAAATCCCGAAGACCGACTAAAAGCCCTGAGGCTGGTCTAAACCTGCCTCTTGGTTTAGGGTTTAGGGTTTAGGGTTTAGGATTTAGGGTTTAGGGTTTAGGATGTAGGGTTTAGGGTTTTTGGATTTGGGGTTTGGGGTTTAGAGTTCAACTATTCATCGCTGAGTGTCTGGATGCGGCGGCAGCCACCCGTTCCAGTCCTCGGGCACGATCGATGTGTGATCGTTGCCTCATGGCGCTCCACAACGACTGGAATTTAGGGTTTAGGGTTTAGGGTTTAGGGCTTAGGGCTTAGGGTTTAGGGTTTAGGGTTTAGTGTTTAGGGTTAGGGTGCAGAGATTAGGCTTTCGGGTTTAGGGTGCAGGGTTTAGGGTTTTAGGGCCCATTTCGATGCCCTGATAGAAGTCAGGACCCTGTTGCACATCTACAGTGGGCAGC